TATATATATAATTTTAACTTCGAAAAAATTGATTGAATTCATTTTTTCAACATTTTTTTTTACATCAATTTTCATCAAATCAAAAGTTTTAAAATTCATTTGTAGCACTTTCGATAAACAATTTTTTAATATGTATCCTGTACATAATTATTTGATCATGATTATTAATGATTTTATTATTATTAACGAATTATTTTTATTATTTGTATTTATTATTATCTTCTTAAATTTTTAAAATAAGTTCTTCGCGCATAAATTTCGTATCTACAAGTTGAATCGAATTACATGGTCAGCATGTTATTCGCATGCAATGATAGTTAAAGCTATTTGTTTTCTCGTTTCTCACGTTCATGTGCCTGAATGATGTCAGTTAAGTCAAGGCCTGCAAACGTCACGCTTCCATTCTTATTATCGTTTGCAGGTAAAATAAACATTTTTGATCATTCATAATTTATAAATTATTTTTTAATTTTATTCTCGTTTCTTCATTATATCTTTTAAAGATCTCGATAAATAATTTTTTCAGAAAGATAAAATACTGACAAATATTTATAAATTATTTTTTAAAATTAATTCGAGAAAAATTTTATCAAAAATTATAAAAAAAAAAATTTAGATCAGCTGAAATCTATAGTACGAATAATACGATAATAATTAGATATCTAACTTATATTTTTTCATTTGATACTTTTATAGTAATAAATTTATTAATTTTTTGACAATTTATAATTAAAAAAATATATTTTTTCAAATATTTAATAATAAATTAATATATAATATATTAATATATAGAATTATATATAATATAAAAATAATAATATATAATAATATATTTTCTTTTTATACGCGATAAAATACGTATATGGTATATCAAAATAAATAAAATAATAAAATTAAAATATCAAATTATGTATATAGAAAAATATTTCTAAATTAAATTTAAAATTATTTTATTTTATTCCATCAAATAATTATGTTAGCAATGTTTAACAGTAATTGTTATTTGTTATTTTAAAAATGATAATGCAATGAATATTTTTTCAATTGTGGATCTTCATTAGATCAATCGGGTTGGCAAGAAAGAATAGAACGTCTCTCGATGAATAGTCAGGATAATAATACCTCGGACTTAGGACACCCTGTACAAATCGTGCTTGCTCATCCAGATCACAGTTTTGAATTAAACGAAGAAGCTTTATCAAAAATTCTCCTTGAAGATGATATTAAAGATAGGAGTGTAGTTGTTGTGTCGGTAGCGGGTGCTTTCAGAAAAGGCAAAAGCTTCCTGCTTGACTTTTTCTTGCGATATATGAACAGTAAGGTATGTTATTACACATAAAAATTTAGTAACAAAGTATCAGTTACGTCTTTAAGAAAAATCAAATTGATCAACTTCATATTCTAAAAATTTTTTAATTTTATTTTTTAAATTGAAATGTATAACAGTAATATTATAATAATTTTTCAGAAAAATTACTATAATAAATGAAATTGTTCAATTTGATTTCTGCATGGTTTGTTATATATTTAGTAATTTAATAGAATATTTTTATATATAAATTAAATTAAAATTATCTTTATTTTTTTCACGCTCACGGAACATTGATTGTATAACAATATTGATTGTTAACATGGATGATATAGTATAATAACAACAATCAAACGGACTCTTGGTTGGGTAAAGAAGATGAACCATTACGTGGATTTTCGTGGAAAGGAGGATCTGAAAGAGACACGACAGGCATATTAATGTGGTCAAAAGTTTTCCGTGGTACTTTACCAGATGGTGAAAATGTTGCTGTGATTTTAATGGATACACAAGGTGCTTTTGATAGTCAATCCACTGTGAAGGATTGTGCGACTGTGTTTGCTCTAAGTACAATGTTGTCATCTTTACAAATTTATAATCTATCACAAAATATCCAAGAGGATGATCTTCAGCACTTGCAACTTTTTACGGAATATGGTAGGCTGGCGTTACAAAACTCTGGACGCAAACCATTCCAAAAGTTACAGTTCTTAGTAAGAGATTGGAGTTATCCTTACGAAGCGAATTACGGTGCAGAAGGTGGAAAAGAGATATTGAATAGAAGATTAGAAATTTCTGATAAACAACATCCAGAATTGCAAAGTCTAAGAAAGCACATTAAATCATGTTTCTCGGATATATCTTGTTTTCTCATGCCACATCCAGGTTTAAATATTGCCACTAATCCTCATTTCGATGGTAGATTAGCAGAAATTCAATCAGAATTTAAGGAACAACTCAAGATATTAATACCGATGTTGTTAGCTCCAGAAAATTTAGTTACAAAGAAAATTGATGGACAAATTGTAAAAGCGAGGGATTTGTTGGAATATTTCAAAAGTTATATGAAAATTTACAAAGGAAACGAGCTTCCTGAACCAAAAAGTATGTTAGTGGTAAGTTTTCATGCAATATTTGCATGCATTATTTATAAATTTTTACATATAATATGCTAGATCAATCTATGATAAATGATTCATTTATATATTTTGAAGTAAGTCTTATATCAATATTTCTTTTACTAGAAAGGTTATTTTTTTATTCTGTGATCACATCTTTTAATAAATATGAAACAATATACATATATATTTTAAAAATTCAAAACATTTCAAATATCACTATTTCTTAGACAATCCTTTTATCTTTGATAAAATTCATGAATTGCGTTAAATGAACTATTGAAATGACAAATTATAATATACAAATATACAAAATTATTTTATACTATGTATTAAACAAAACTTCATGTATATTGATTTTTCATTGCTTTTATGATAAATTTTAAGCTATATTATAAATTTTATATGCATATAAGGAATTCATTTCAGATATAATAATTTTGTATATTTTACATATTTATTATATATAGTAACCAACTGTATATCACTAATAATGAGCTGACTATCAAATATTCATTAAATATTTTAATTTTTATTTTACAATACTGTTTCTATATACTATTTCTGATAGATTAGAAAAAAGTTAAATCAAATTCAATAATAATTATTAATATTAAATTCTAAGATATCTACCAGGTACCGTTCCTAATAATCTTTTCACTAAAAAATATTCTTGCACAAGTAGTATAATACACAAGTATCATTTTCAACCATTTGCTATTTTTATTTTTTAAACAAACATTCGATATAACTATATAACATCTAGTCGATCAATGTAATTCTTCTAAAGATATTTATGTATCTTTATTTATATTCAGTCCAAGCTCTTTTATAAAGTATTAACTCGATATCAACAATTTAAAAATTTTGACATTAACATATAATATATAATATAATTCTATAATTTATTTTTAGGCAACAGCAGAAGCAAATAATTTAGCTGCAGTTACAGAAGCTAGAGAATTTTATATGCGATTAATGGAAGATATTTGTGGAACAAAAAAACCATATTTAACAACACAACGTTTAGAGGATGAACATGCACGTTGTAGGGATAAAGCTATATACAAATTTCAGAATAAAAGAAAAATGGGAGGAGAATCATTTAGTCAAACTTATACAAAAAAATTATGCCAGGTGAGAGATTGTTGGAATTGTATTTATTTATATTTACTATATTATTATAACCATTAATTACTTTTATAACAGGATATGGATAAAGCTTTTGTTCACTTTAAAGCACAAAATGAAAGTAAAAATGTTTTTAAATCAACGCGAACTGCAGGAGTATATTGCGCAATTGTTGCCATTATGTACTTCTTATCCTCTATATTTGGTTTTACTGGATTATATCTATTAGCAAATATTTGTAACTTCATCATGTGCATCTGTATATTAACCTTAATGTTATTGGCATACATTAGGTATATATAGAGATATTTTAAAGAGATATTTAATAATTCTTTCCAATTATACAATTATAATTATTTTTTATTAATTTAGATACAGTGGTAATTATGACACAATTGGAATAGCAATAGATGAAGTGGCTAATGTTTTATGGAATAATGTAAGTAGTGTACATTTAATTATTTATATATCAACCTATGTATTTAAATTCCTTCAGTAAGCTTTCTATTTAATATAAGTAACAGCTATCCGTAAAATCTTTTTAGCTATAAAATTAATAAACATTACTTAATTTATTTATTAATAAAGCTAATTCCATGCATTAAAATGATGAGAAGTAATTTATATATTTGTAATTAGATAATTTCATTTAGTACCTAATTTTTTGATTTAATGTACATATTGATCGTTCATATTATACAAATAGAAATTTATGTAAAGCTTTATTTACATTTTTATTATTTAAAATATGTATGAAAAGTTGTGTTTACTTCAACAGAACAAAAATATCACTTAAAATATTATGCACTAAAAAATTCCTTTTGTAGTCCAAAGATTAACTAGGTGATGTAAATAATTGCTCCTCATCATTTCACCATATTTCCTGATTCATACCTTCCACATATGATTTCTACAGGTTCGAGATATGGGGGTACTATTCACTGTACTTACACTTGCTGTGGCTGCTGCTTCATCATGGTTTATAATTTTATATGATTTTATTTTTCCAGCACCTCCTTTACCTTTTTTTCCCTCTATTCGTTTTAGTTTTGAAGATATACCTAATTTTTGGGAATATTTATATTTTATCACAAATATTATTTTTTGTGCTATTTCTAAATGTTGTCACAGTTGCTTTTACTTTTTACATCATTATTTTAACATTTTTTCAAAATATTTTGATTACCTAACAAATATCACTTTTGATAACATTTTTAATTTGTATGATTCTTTTTTAAACTATTATTCTTCTCTTTTTATAGGATATTTATATTCTTTAATAAAAATTACTTTAGATAATATTTTCAAATTATATAATTCTTATTTAAATTATTATGCTATTTTTTCAGAATATTTACAATATATTATAAATATTATTTTTAACAATATTTCTAAATTATATAGTTTTTGTTTAGATTACTACTTTACCCTTTTTTTAGAATATTTTCATTATCTAACAAATATTGTCTTTGATAATACTTATAAATTAGATAAATATTATTTAACTAATTATTTTTCTTTTTTTTTTGAATATTTTCAATACTTAATAAATATTTTTTTTGATAATATTTTTAAATTATATAATTTTTGTTTACATTACTATTTTTCTCTTTTTTCAGAATATTTAAATTATTTAATAGACATTATAATTGACAATATATCTAAATTATACAATTCTTATTTAAATTATTACTCTTCTTAGTATATTTTCACTGTTTAATAAATAACTATTTTTCTTTTTTTTTATATTTACAATATCTAAAAAACATTATATTTAACACTTCTAAATTATCTTAATTTTCCTATTTTTTTACAATATTTATAGTAGCTTATAAACATAATTTTTAATAATATTTTTAAATTATATAATTCCACTTTAAACTATTATTCCCTCCTTTTTTCAGAATATTTACATTACCTAACAAACTCTATTTATAAATAATAAAACAATTTAAATTATATAATTATGATAAATCATTTTAATTGTAGTTAAACTATTTTGAATATATTTGCATATGATTTCTTATATATGTATTTATCCATTACTTTTACATTAATATTACATTTTTTACTTATATAAATATTGCCTTTAATATTATTTTACTATTTTTTTTCCTCCTTAATGTAAGCTGAATACTAACAGGAGCAAATGTACAAAAGGTATGGGGTTTGTTTATAATTAACATAAAAGTAAAAATAATTTTCATTTCATATATTTAAAAAAAAAGAGATAGCTGTTCTTTAAAATTTCTATAAAAATTATACCATTATACTTAAAACTAAATATTAATCTTTTTTTGAAAATATACGATTTTATAATTATAAGTTAAAATGTGTGAATTTTATGAATATGTGTAATATTTTTATATCAAATTTAAATTAATTTAAATTACGTACATAATATATTTAATTATAAATTATAAATTTTTATTAATTAATTATAAATTTTTTTATATCTGTTCAGTTAATTAAGCCAGTCTATCAACAAGTTGTGGAGAAGTCAGTGTCCGTAGCAGTGGCTCAAGCTGCTGAAATGGCTACAAATACAACAATGAATGCCACTGTCACTGCCAATGGCAAGCCTAAACTAACATGATGTTCATTCCCTTTGTGTCCCAATTTCTTAAGTGCATTAGAAATATACATCAATGTATTAAAACCAGTAAGTGACATAACAAAATTTAATTGTTTTTACCATGTAATATGAGGCCATAAATAGCTATTTTTTTGTTAAGTCACAAGGAGGGACTGTGCGTTGAACATATTTATTTAAAATGACTGTGAATGTATATACAATATATTTTGATTATAATTCCCTCTAGATTGTTGAAAAACATCACTATTGTCTATGATTGATATTACATTGTTAAAAAAATAAAATTCCACAATTACTGGTAAAAAATATTGTTTGGATAGAAGCTATTGTTTTGGGGTTGTTAATGTTTATGATCAATTTTAATTTTTTTTTATATTACAATATATAAATATATATACATATGTATACCATAAAGAAACAAAGTGTAAACAAATTTTTAAAAACAGTATACTTCTACATTTTTTGATAACATTGATTTCACATTTAGCTCTTTAGTTAGGAAAATATATTAAGCACATTTTAAGATAACAAAAAAAAATATTAAAATATTTTTGAAAAGGAATTTTAATAGTACACACTTTGTATATTTATGCATTATTCTATGTATATGAACTAACATACTTAAATTATATCCGTGCCAGATTTATTCAACATCAGTTACTATTGTATTGATTAATTTTTTTAATAAACTGAAGTGTAAATACTATTTAGTGTTCATTACACTTTATAAATTTTAAATAAAATTCATAATATTTAATTATAATAATATATTAAATGTATACATATGCCATAGTTGATATTTTTAATAGATTAAACAATTCAACTTTAATATTTTGCGGAACATTAAATTATACATTAAACAAATTTTTAAAGAATTGTAAATATAACTAGAGTGCTAATTTCTTTCTTAAATTAGAAACTATTCGTAAGATTTATTTCTATAATAATTTAATGCATGTTCTAATATATATATATATATATATA